TTAGGATTTAAAGTCTGCTTCATAAATGAGTTTTCATAAAAGAACAGATACAGGTTGGCCATATTTGAATGACGTTCATTCCCATTGGAATACCAACAATTTGCTTACATACTTGTTCGTTAAAAACAATATAAATGTTATAAATACAGAAATGGAGTATATTTTTACAATGAATTCTAGTAAGTATAAATTTGGGTATAGTTATTTCATTATTTATATAAAGTTATCAAACAAATCATTGAAAACCCTGATTAAATCTTTTAGGTCTATTTTAGTAAACAATGTAGTAAAGTCATATGTTAAAATCAAACTGGCAGTTTTTGAAGAATTTAAATTATTCAAACATTCCAAAAGTGGAATGTTATTTTGATAATCCAAAAATAATTATTCTGGTTATTTGAAAACTATTTTTATTTTTTCAAACATCTAGAACATTGTTAAGTACTATGGAAACAGATTTAATGACTGTATTTATAGAATTAGTAATAAATCTGAATTTCACAGGATTTGTATGCAATTTTGGAATTGCATATAAAAATGATAAATACATACAAGAATAATCTGTATGGATATTCCATTTTTTAATAGCCTTCTTTAAATTAGTAATAACATTATTTTTCTTTAAAATACTTTTAGTAAAAATACTTGTGGTATTACTTTCATTAATTAAAATTTGTGCATACAACTTTTTACACACAAAACTAAAATTACAGCCAGCTTTATCATACGGGGTAATAACAAATTGTTTTTGAATTTATTTTATTTTATCTTTTTAAGACATTGAAAGAAATGTCTAATTTGTAACAAGATAAGTTTAAAGTTCTTAATTGATTTTTTATGGAATTAATAAAATATAATTTCCACTCAAAAAAGAAACATGGTGGATAATAGGATTGTTCACTTATTTTAAGAATGTAATGATCAATATTTTTTTTAATCTTTTAAGATTTCACATTTTCTTGTGTGTGTTTTATAAAATTCTATATTTAATACCATTCTTCAATATTGATTATAATTCTTTATCTTTGACTACTTTTAAATTTCCTGTAACTATATGATTATGAAAGACATCTTTAAAAAACACTATTATTACAGTTAGAAGGTAAGTTGTCAACTTCTATTTGATTAAAATCTTCAGTGAATCTTTTATAGTTAAAGAGAAGAGGTCCTACAGGTTTATTATATTTAAAACTGACTATTGGTTGAAACGATTTTATGGAAAAAATATCCTCTTGAATACTTTTATGAATCAGGGAAGGTAAATATAAATCACCATAAACTATATAAGATTTCTCTTTTTTTTTCCTGAAGGGAGTATAGGTATATAATTCCATTTTAATCTAAATTTATTTAGATCTATTATTAAATCTTTAACATGGATATTTTTAAACTCAAAATTTAACAAATATTTTGACAGATATTTGAGTTTTGGATTTGTTAAATCAATTACTTGTTTTATTATAAATTTCATCAGATTAACAGATCTGTCAAAAACAGAATCCAATTTTTACAAAACTTTCAAAATCAATCCACTTCTTCCTATTTTTACCATTACCTCTTCATACCCTTATTTGATTGATGATTTTATTTTATTTTTTGACTTTCCATGACAGCTGCCTAGATTGACATTCTGAAGGGAACTCATCTAGGTAAAATTTGCACCAGCTCCTCCACCACTTTAACATGGAATTGTAGCTAAACTGTGTTTAGAAGTTAGGTATCATGTCAGAAGTTAACATTTTTCTTACCTGAAAATGTATTTCCGATAGATACTCACCACTTTACACATTCCCACCCTTCCTTCCCACTTCCAGTGCACCTTTGTTTCCTTGCCTCATCAGAAAATGAAGATTTGCAAGTGCACAGGGAGAGTTATTACACATGGAGATGTGTTGGCCTCCTGTTGGTGGAGGGTTTTTCTGCATAATGAAATCATCATGTAGCTGTGCAATTCACGTAAAATCTTGTGAAATTATGTGAGAGTTACCTAAAGGATAGTGGCATGCAAATATATAAGGCAGACACACAGAAAAGATGACTAAACTGTGTGCAGAGGTATCTATTCGAAATACATTTTCAGGTGAGGAAAATGTTAAAATTTATATTTTTTGCTTTGTAAGGGGGCCTCATTTTTTCTATATTTCTAATTCAAATACTAGTTCAAAGGCTGTTGTTGAAACCGCTGTATTACTATTCAGATATTATATTCATGATGTTAGAAAATCAAGTAGGTTCAAGAAGTCTTGATAGAAATGAATAAAAACCCTATAACCTGAGTTCCTTTGATAGGAGGACCTTTCTTCTTCAGGGACAAACTGGACTTAATAATAAAAAAATTTTACAGGACTTAGTTGTAAAAACTGGTTTTCAATATGACCTGTAAAAATGTTGACATAATTGGGAGCCATTGCAGTACCATTAACCTGAATGTAATGCTCATTATTGAATTTGAAGTTGTTCAGAGTTAAAACCATGCTGGCAAGATCAGTTACTGTTTAAGATTCTGATTGATTAGGAAGATTTAATGCAGACTTTAGAGTTTGTAGTCCTTTATCATGTGGAATATTAGTGTAGAGGGAAAAAACATCCATCATGCAAAGAAGACTGTTGGGTGGTAACTGTCTGTTAGTATTAATATCTTCTATGATGTTAAAGTGAGTAGTACCCTTTATGTAAGAGGAAGGGTACATGGAATACATTTTATGTGTTGGTCAACAAAAGCAGACAGCTTTTCAGTAATCATGTTTATATTAGAAATTTTGGGTAAGAGATAAAATATACCAGGAAAAGCTTGTCTGGGTATCAAATACTGAAAGGTCTCTTTGTTAATTTTATTGTTTTGGAGGAGTTCTTTGAGCTTATCAGTTATGGGCTTAATAAACTGAGTTCAGATGATTTATATATGATAAACTGAAAAAGTTGTGTTTTTGAAAAATATTGGTAAGAAATGTTTTAAGTAACCATGAGGATTAGCATCAACAAGACCAGTAGTCCCATGGTACATGTTTCACATGTTGTATTATCTGTTGGTATGGGCTATTATAGTAAAAACCTAGTCATCAAATAACTTTGTGGTAGTGGATCATCATGTAAGTGATGTTATGTATAGTTCTAAGTGGCTGATGAAAATCTTGAAATAAGTATGTGAACACAATTATCAAAAGGAAGTTGTTAAATGTGCTGCTGTAAATATTCTGTATATTTGTTGTTTATGTATGATTGTTTTTTGGTATTAAATCAAATTGTGTAAATATTTAGAAAGAAACTAATAATTGTAATTTTAGGACATTTCAAGTAGGTATATTTTGTAAGTGCTGGGAAACCCACTTTTTAATAAGAATAATTGAGAAACATTGCAGTGTTACTGTCTTAAAAGTCAAACAACATTTGATGAATTTTTCTTTTTTATTCAGTTCATCAGTGAGGGTTTGTTCAACCACAGCATCCAGTGGAAAGACCAGCCCTAAAGAAAAGCCCCCCGAAGGTGGTGATCCAGCTGAGGGAAACCAGCATGCTGCAGAAGCCCCAGTGAACCCTCTTGAGGAAGAAAACAAAAATCTTATTGAAAAAATTAAAGAAATTGATGTAAGAAGTGCTTTAAGTGTTTAGTATGGACTGAAAGAATAAGTTTACATAGATACTAATTAAGGCAGCATTTGTCTGACATTGATAATCTTTTTTGCTAATTTCTGGCTTTGAATTTTTTTATAGTCTAGTGGAATGGACCAACAAGTCTCTTGTTGTTGTTAAGTGTTAGGTAACAAGTTATGGAGGATAGTGTAAAGTGTTTCATTGATCTGAGGTAGTTCAGGCTGATATTTCTTTTGATAAGTAACTTTGTTTTTGTCATTTCATACTATAAAAACAAGTTACTAAATATATTGAAATAATGTATTTTTCAAAATGATACTTAAAATTTTCTTTCACTTTGTTTTTTATCCACTTTTACTGACCTTAAGATTTTTTTATCAGAAGAAATTTGAAAGGTGATGATACTATAGCATTACTTTGCCCATCTAAGCACTGGTCTGGATTTTTCTCGTTTGCTTCAATCTTTTATTCTCCACTTAATTGCCCTTAACAATATCTGTCATGTGACACTTTCCACCTATGTCAATGTGCTCTATCCTGGTACTGTATACAAGCACCTCATTCAGATAATATTGTCATTTTTTTAAGACTGACCAAATTTGCAGTCTCTAACACCTGGTCTTTGTGGGGAGGGAGGGTGAGAAAGTGTGAGTAGAGGAAAGTGTTACTGGAAATACATTTTTGACTTAAGAAAATGCTAACTTCACTTCCTCACACTACAACTCGAATCCCACATTGATAAGGTGGAGGGTCCAGTAAGGGCATTATCAATACAAAATGCATCTGCATAGGTTATGGGTGTGCCAATAGAAGCTTAGCACCCTAGTGGGGGGAACTGCACTACATCCAGAACAGGTATGCTCTTCACCCGGAACATAAATCATGGCATTAGGGTGGAATTTGATGTGATCCATCATCACTAAAGGCCAGGCCCCAACCATATAGCCGAGGTCTCACTGCCCGGGATTGGAATTATATAGCCATGGTTCCTAAATCCCACGTTGGTGGCTAGGACACACTAAACTCAGAATTATGGTATCCTGTATGGTATACTCAACCTGAAGAAGTCCGAAAGGGAACACTCCAAACTCAGAATGATGGGATCCTGTATGCTATACTTAACCTAAAGAAGTCCAAAAGGGGAACACTCCAAACTCAGAATGACAGGATCCTGTATACTATACTTAACTTGAAGAAATCCAAAAGGGAACACTCCAAACTCAGAATGACAGGATCCTGTGTGCTATACTTAACCTAAAGAAGTCCAAAAGGGAACACTTCAAACTCAGAATGACAGGATCTTGTATACTATACTCAACCTGAAGAAGTCCAAAAGGGAACACTTCAAACTCAGAATGACAGGATCCTGTATACTATACTTAACTTGAAGAAATCCAAAAGGGAACACTCCAAACTCAGAATGACAGGATCTTGTATACTATACTCAACCTGAAGAAGTCTAATAAGGGAACACTTCAAACTCAAAATGACAGGATCCTGTATGCTATACTTAACTTGAAGAAATCCAAAGGGGAACACACCAAACTCAGAATGACGGGATCCTGTGTGCTATACTTAACCTAAAGAAGTCCAAAAGGGAACACTTCAAACTCAGAATGATGGGATCTTGTATGCTATACTCAACCTGAGAAAACAGAACTCAACCAGTCTGGAATTATGAACACTTGTCCTCACTACCCAAACATGCGGGCAAGGTAAATTCCATTTTCCCCCAAAATTATGGGGTGGACGTGGAACAACCTGTGCTCAATCAAGGACCCAGGATGGGACCACTCTGCATTCGGAATTCCGAGGACACAACGATGGACCCTGTTCCATGAACAATGTGATGAACCAACATTGATAAAAAACAAAAAGAGCCATGCTCAACCCAACTGGATAGCAGAGCATCAAATCTGAACGGTATTACAAGTAGGCTGGTGCCTCTCCTACTGACATCTGGGAAAAACATCCAAGGACCCGGGTTGGAGGGCCCCCAAATTCACCCTCTACTCAAAGAGTGGAGGAAAGTCACGTTACCTTATTAATATAGCATTACCTTAAATGTTACCTTATTAATGTAGCATTACTTTACATGGTACATTATTAATATAGCATTACTTTAAATGTTACCTTATTAATGTAGCATTACTTTACATGGTACATTATTAATATAGCATTACTTTACATGTTACCTTATTTATGTAGCATTACTTTACATGTTACCTTATTAATTGATGGGTAAGAGCTGCTTCTGTTATGCTTTGCTTTGGGGGGGGGGATTTATGTATTAATGTTTTATTTGAAATACTTTTTTAAGTATTCCTGTTTAACATGAGCGTATGCAGTAATAAGAATATTTATATTTATAAGGAACTTATTGTGTTTAAAGGTGTAATCAGTTGGTGACTGCTTGAAGAGAGGTCATTAGAACTTACTATACATCTGTCACCTTACCAAGAACACAGTAGCAAAGTTTACATAACACCGTGTATCCTGTCTAGTATTTTTTGTTTAAAAACCATTACGTCACTCAGAAATGACAAGTTCCTAATGTGATGATTGGAAATTTTCACCATATTGGATGTAGACCCTGTTTCTTTGTGCCTGTCTCAGTTAACATAAATACATGTATGTTGGGGTCAGATGTCAAAAACTTGGGTAGCACTGTACACCCACAAACCATAGAAGGTTGTGAGAACTTATAAGTTTCTACTATCATGAAGAAAAGATATTCCCCCTCAAACTCCTCAGACTTTATCATTTTTGTTTTATGTGAATAATAAAGTATTTAAATGTTGTTTTGTTTCTTACTATGTATCTAAAATAAATTAAGAAGTGAAAGAGTTAAAAGATTTGTCTTTAAAATCTGAAATTTTGCTACACATATACATGATTCTGTAAAACTATAATATAATGAAACCTCCTTTAACCTCTAAACTTGTAAGACAGTGATGTGTCTTCTTTATATATAATCAATAACCTAAAAGCTTATTATCATTCCTGATAGTGCCACTACAGAGGTAATTTGGTTTAGAAATAAGCATATTACATATATTTGTCAGCCATCATTACACAAAAAAATCTGTATTTTTTTGCTAATAGTCTGTTTTAACACCTATCTTCTTTTTTATTTATTTATAGAGCAAAATATTAAGTACAGATGAAGTTATGGCTACATAGATTGATTTATCAATGAATGTTCGATAACTAGCACTGCAGTTATACACAGCCTAATTTGGAACATGTTAACAAGATTCTACATCAAACTAAAAAATTGAGTAGTCAATTTGATATTACACAAACAGAAATCTTTGATAATCTTGTAGTGAAGCACATAGTGGAGTTAGTAACATCCTTTTCTTGATAGGACACAGCAGAAATTTGTAACATTTTTCTTTAACTTGGCAATGGATATGATATTTTTTTTTTGGTTTCTCTGCTATCTTTTATAATTTACTTTCCTATATTAAACAATGATTGGTCTGTATCAATGGGGAAGATAATAGAACATATTTTCTTTAGTACTAACATGCTGAAGGTAATTATACAATTTCCTTTATTAACGCGATGACTACCGGTACTAACTTAGTAGGCAATGCAAGTGTGCATTTGTGAATTGAAAAAATGATAGAGAACTTATCTTTTAATGGATTTCTGATTTTATTTTTACAAATAGTAGCATAACATTCAATTATTTGTACAAAATTGTATTCTTTAATGACGTTTAAAGAGGAATTTAATGAAAAAA